TTGTACTGTTTTACTTTCCCAACAATGACGAATGGGTGTTTCTTTAACTCCACATCCTCACAGTGTGTGGTATTGTCAGGCTTTTGGGGTTTAGCCACTCTAATATATACACAGCTATTTCTCACTTCTGATTTAATGTATAAGTGACATATGATGCAGACCCGTCTTTTTTTTTTTTTTTCTTCCCCTCAATTCTGTCAGACCTACGACTTCCATTTGTTTTATTCAATTCTGGGAACCAAAGCCAGAGCATGTGACAGACAACCTCTCTACCATGGACCCAGAGCCCCTGCATTCTATCTTTGTAAAGCATAATGCTTTGTATTATACCAATAAAAAGCAGTGAAGCCAAGCATCCTTTTCTCTGTCTGAGTTCACTTGCTCTGTGAAAACGAAGACCTTGTCTGTATTGTTTTGCATATTATTCCCAAACCAGCATTGTGCCTTTTTCTTAGTAATTCACCAAATGCTTATTGAATATAATGAGTTGAATGGTGGTCCCCCAAAACACATGTTCAAATCCTAAACCCCAGAATACGTAAGTATTATCTTTTATGGAAGAGGGTTCTGATGGACATAAGTGGAGAATCTTGGGATGTTCACCTAAGACCCATCAGTTGGGCCAATCCAACTGTTGTCCTTAGAAGGACGGAAGAGAAAGGCAGGATGAAACACACCGAAGAGGAGGAGGGTCATATTCCATCATTTTCTTCTGTCTTACTAGCACAATTTCTCCCTAGTTGTCATTCTCCCAACAGATATGAATCTACACAATATTTTTACATTATTAAAAATAAACTGCAACACAAATCTTCAAAATCTCCCTTCACTGTTGGCCTGCATCTGGTATCTCTCACCTGGATTCTGCAGTATTTTTTTGATTGCTCAGAATCTCATCACCAGCCAGCCCCAACCAGACATCTGTTCCTTACATTTCAGAAAAACTGGAAACTACTTTTGAGACATAATTTACAGATGTTACAATCAACTACCTCATTAAGACAGAATTGACATAATATGCAATTTACTCCTTTAAGGAATGGAATCAAATCATCTTAATGTATTCATGATGTTTGCACATATTTAAAATGTCCAGTTTGGCACACTGTGGCCTGTCCTAGCATCACAACCACAATCAGGATATCTGCCAGGCATGGAGAATGGTTCAGTGCCTAAAAATGAGTACTGCTCTTGCAGAGAATCCAAGTTCAGTTCCCAAACACCCCTGTTGGGCAGCTCAGAACCTCCTGTAACTCCAGCTCCAGATCATGCACCCTCTTCTGGACTCCATGGACACCTGCGGTCATATCACACACACACACACACACACACACACACACACACACACACACACTCCTCAAAGTAAAATACAAATCTCAAAAACAAATGCCACCAGGCACCCACCCCCTCCAAAAAAAATTCACGTGTGACTTTCCCCCTTCCTAGCAAGTAAGAATCCTATTTCTCTCACTATGAGGTAGCTCATATTTTAAAGAATTTTATATAAATAGAAGCATTTAGCCATGCCATTTGCTTTTTCTATTGCTTCCTTCTGCAACTTTATTCTGAGCTCTGTCTCCATTTAAATATATGTCAACAGCTCAGGTTTCTGTCGTCTCATAGAAGCATTCAATTGTATGATGACACCACATTTTACTCACCTTCTGATGGAAGTTGAGCTCTTTCCAGGTTGGGACCGGTAAAAAAACAGCAGAGGAAAGAAGAAGAAGAAGAAGAAGAAGAAGAAGAAGAAGAAGAAGAAGAAGAAGAAGAAGAAGAAGAAGAAGAAGAAGAAGAAGAAGAAGGAGAAGAAGAAGAAGAAGAAACCTGCAGTGAACATTCATATGCAAACTTTGGTGTGGCATACAGTCTCCTTTGGTGTGTCTAGGAGTGTCTAGGATGGCGTGCCTTGGTCACATGATTGGAGTACTCTTAACATCTTTAGAAACTGCCAGACTTTTCTAAAGTGGTTGCACCGCTGAATTTTCTCACAGTCCCATTTGTCGTCGAGGTTCTGTGCAGGTGTGACTCATTTGTTCAACTCCAGTGTTCTAGCCTCCTAGTAGCTCCCACTATGCTCCCCAGTGTCACTTATCCACGCCTCAGGTTATGCTGTACTTGCAACTGGAACACCTCTTTACCTTCATTCTTCTTAATACTCAGCCCCAGGGTCTTTGGACCCAAAAGTCATCCTCTGTTTGAGTCAGTTTGTGTTACTGTAGCAAAAATACCTGAAATAAACAACTGAAACAGAAGAAAGGCGACTGTGGCTTGGGCCTTGTGCTGGGTGAGGCAGCATATGCTGGCAGAAGAAACTGCTCACCTCGTGGTGGCCAGGAAGCCAAGAGAAAGGAAAAACAACCTAAAGACCTGCCTAAAGTTAACAGCATCCCAATAGGATGCAAACTAGAGCATTCAACATCTTCCTACATTTGGTAAACTGTATGCAGTCCTTCTCCCTACTCAAAGCCAAAGAACTGGCACAAGGTTGGCACAGCATAGCTTGGCTGTCTTGAGCAGCAATAGCTTCATACTGGGAGTGAGCCCTTTACCTGTATCTTGAAGCTGTTAGGTCTGTGTTTTCTTGCATCAAGAGAGCTGCTACTGTAGCCATTTTTATTTGGATTTTTTAAACCAGAAACAATGTGTAGGTACGGCAATGTTTTTAAGTGAAGTGGACAATTGTCCTAATTCTAAACATCCTTTGAGCATGGAAGGGGAAATAAAAAATGAGGTTAAAGGGACTTGTAAACTTCAGAAAAGTTAAATTCGGTTCAAGTGAGCGTTACCCAATCTCTCTTGATGTTCTGATTTTAAGGCTTCCGGTCTCTGAGAGGTTTTAGTACCTTGAATGAACTAGAATTTGTCATTTATGCCTGTGATATTTTATTTACATTGGTGCTGAGGAAGGGGCAGAGCTGGGGTGTTTTTAAGCAGCTTCTGAGAAATTCTTAGTTGGTAGTGTTTGCCACCTCCCCAGATAATTGCTGGATGTGGTTTTACATGTTCCCAGGAGGGAGGCGAGGACATAAAAAGAATGGGTCTCCAGGAGAGTCAGGCCGGTAATAAGGGATGGTAAAGAGCCTGTGTTTCAAAGTCGGCTGGAAATCACAGTGATGGTTTTCAGTGATGGCCCCTGAGGCTTCACAGCCTGGGGATTTGGCCCGCTGTGCACCATAGCCTCTGCTGGGCTTCCCTCAGGCACAGTGCCTCCTGGGGGGGGATACAGCACCAAATTAACCTTCCACTTGAAATGTGGAAAGAGAGCCCCAGCAGGTGGAAATTTCTGGCAATCAGCTAGCTAATCTAAATGATATTGAAATAGTCCTTCCTAAGAGTTCCTTTCTAAAGCAAGATGGCTCGTGTCTACCCTAAGCTAACTGAAGCCCTGAGCACGGGGACACTGTTGCCATAGTTAAGATGAGAAGGCTCAAGACTAAAGCTACTGACACTCTGTCCTGTGCAGGACAGTCTTCTGCCAGAAAGGAGTCCTGAGTTACTACACTGACAAGGAACAAGAAAGGGAGGGAGGAAAGAAAGAAGAAATGAAGGGAAGGAGAGGGGGAGAAAAGAAAGGAAAGGGAAGGAGAAGAGAGGAGAGGAGAAGAGAATAGAGAAGGGGAGGAGAGGAGAGGGGAGGGGAGGAGAAGGGAGGGGGAAAAGGGGAGAATAGAGGAGAGAAGAACAGAGAAGGGGAGGGGAGGGAGGGGAGGGAGGGGAGGGATGGGGAGGACGGCATGGAGAGGATGGGACAGTCTCTGCCTCCCCAGGCCATGAGTTGAGTTGCAAAGGTGGGTGCTTTTATCTCCTCCTTCATAGATCATGGGATGAGCATATAAAGCTCTTGGACAAAGCAAGTGAGTTTGTGTTTGACAGCCCCATTCATTCATTTTTGGAGACCATGAACAGCAAATCCTGGTTTCTAGCTTCTACTTAGGAAAAAGATTGAGTGGGGCCAGATAAATGGCTCAGCGGTTAAGTACAATTGCTGCTCTTGCAGAGGACCAAGGTTTGGTTCCCAGCACCTACAGGACAGGTCACAGCCATCAGTAACTCTAGTTCTAGGGAATCTGATGCCCTTTTCTGAACTTTGCAATCATAGTACACATATGTGCAAGGAAAACACTCATATACCTAAAATAAATAAGTGCAAAATAATGTTTTTAAAAGGTGAAGGAAATTTCTTTATTAAATGGCCTCATGGGGAAAAATTTTTTGAACAAATCCCAGGTTGTCTTGTCATTGTTGTCAGCTTCAAAATGCTGACACTATTTATTTTATAGCTTTCTAAATGCGATTAAATTATATCTGGCATCTTCCCTACATTTACCAGGAGCGACAACAGCATCTGAGAAAAACATGCTTATTAGCTAAATGGCCTATGAAAACAGTCACTTTCATGGTTAAATCTCAAAACCATCTGATTTTGTAACTGTTCAGAAGACAGTTACAGTGAGACCATTTAAGGGTTACATGATTGCCTGACTTGAGTGTGAGGCTCACTTTGGTGCAAACCTCTCCTGGGCTGGAGGTAGCCTTTGACAGTAGTTTAAAGCATGGCCCCTGAAGACCCACTACTTGGCTGACAATGGCACCTGACACATATCCGCAAACCTCTGAAGTGTTTGTTAAGTATATGATTAAGAGGCTGGGGAGATGACTCCATTGATAAAGTGTTTGTCGTACAAGTATAAAGACCTGAGTCTACCCTCCAAGATATTTCCAGTGGGAATCAGGGCAGAGGGGCTCCACGCAACAGATAAAAGATTTTTGGGGGGTCGGTGGGATTTCCTGACAGAGTTTCTCTGTGTAGCCTTTTCTGTCCTAGAACTCACTCTGTAGACCAGGCTGGCCTCAAACTCACAGCGTTCTGCCTGTCTCTGCCTCCTGGAATGCTGGAAGTAAAGGTATTTGTCACCACACCAGCTGATATGAAATATTTAAAGATTCAATTATTATCCTTTTTAAGTTATACTTACCCCAGACCTTTGGTTTTACAGTTGGTGATGTACATCGGCCAGGTAGCCAAGGACATCCTCAAGTGGCCTCGACCCTCATCACCTCCAGTGGTGAAACTTGAAAAGAGAGTGGTTGCAGAATACGGAATGCCATCCACCCATGCCATGGCGGCCACCGCCATTTCCTTCACCCTCCTCATCTCTACCATGGACAGGTACCAGGTAAGGCCAGGGTGGAGGCCCATTCGTATTCCTCTCATGCTCACATTAGATTGTAGAATGAGGAAGCAGAGAGGGGAGCAATTCAGAATCTCTCTTAAAGCTGCTTTGAGGGACATTAAGATGTATGAGGTAAAAAAATGAAGGGAATCTGAAACCTACAGGGGGAGGTGTTGATAAATTCTTCATAAAGTGACCGGCTGACTTGGCACCCAAATCAGAGGCGCCTTTCAGCGAGGAAGGGCCCAAGAAAGGAGAGCAGAATGTGGTTTGTCTGATGTCATCCTCTCCCCTAGCAAGTGTTTACTTGAGCTGATGCCTAGACTGAATCTCCACTCTCTGGGCTTGCAACAGACACAAGGGGTTTGCAATCCTCCTAAATGATCCTCCAGGGCAAAGATGATCCCATCAAATCCCTCTGCCAGACTCGCCTGGCCTGGGGCAGAAGAGAGTCGGGTACCCCAAATTACCTTCCAAGGATGGTTAGGGACCCGCGACTTGAAATGATGCCTCTTTTCTTTTAGAATCATATAAATGACAGGAGATTAATAAATGTTGAAAATAGAAGAATTACATTTAATATCTATGTAGATGATAATTATAGTAAGACCTTGTCAAAGTTATGTCATTGCTGCAAGGCAGCTTTTTTTTTCTTGATATTTGAGACACGTCACTTTGACTTAGTGTTTAATTACATAAACGTTACTATCTAGCTATTGGGAGTTTCAGACGTCTTGAATCTGGTGGTCCTATAGCTAAATGGCATCAGTGGATCACCCCGCTCTTTGCCCCAGATATCCCCAGCCGTTCCGTATTCCAGGTTAGGTAGGTGCTTCATTCAGCCAGCGTGCTAGGAAAAAGTCAGGACTGCGTCAGATCTCAGCTCTACCTCTTCAGTCTTCTTCCTGACCACATGGATAGATCTGTTTCCTCACTGGGACAAGGACATTCATAAGAAATGTATCCAAGTAGCTGTAACCACTGTGCTGTCACTTGTTGGAAAACCATGCTCAGGACCCAGAAGTATCTGAGGTCCCTTAGGACTGTCTCAGTTCATGCCAGCTTCTGAGCTGGGTTTCACCTATGCTCCACTGCCCAACAGGACACAGTGGGCCAGGGCCCAGCCATGAATACAGGGTGTTCTCAGTATCCAGACAGGTCTGTGAATGTAATTTAGGAAAAAGACCACTAAGGACAGACATCACAGTGGCAGGAGTGTGGCAGGGGCAGGTCTTCACATCCTGATGGATGGGAGGCGTAGGGGAGACTTCACCTTTAAGGGCATGACTGAAGGTCTTTGACCCACGGGAGTGCACCTCCTAAGTTTACATCACTAAGCCTTACATCAAATAGTGACAGGCTACAATGACCAAACGTTTGCCTGTTGGGACATTTTATCTTAAAACCAAAATGCACTCTCATTTTCCATATCGAATATCGTTGGAACCCACTATGAGGAGAGGCTGGCTGTAGGAAGAGAGCAATAACAATTTAAACACTCACTTTAAAAATATTCCCGTTCCCTTTGCTTACACAAGTACGATCATCCATTTTTTCTGACATGGTGCCCAGGCCGCCATCTTGCCTAGAAGTCTTTTAAAGCTATCCAATTAAGATGTTCTTTTTGGCTCATAAGATGCGGTGCCCCGCTAAGGCCTGAGATGAACTGTGATTTCTTTCCTCTTTACCTTTTCATTACACTCAGCTACTTAGGTTCATTTACTCATAAATGGCTTTAGATGTAGATTTGCTTGTTTATTTGTGCATTGAAGCTAATATCTGACTGCGTGAAATTATAATACCTTCTGATGCAAATCCAAGGCTAGGTCAATCAAAAAGTCTCTAAACAGAAACTGGCAGTTGTGGTACCCAACACCTGTAACCCCAGCACTCAGGAAACTGAGAGAGTAGTAGGATCAAACGTTTAAGGCAAACCTGGGCTACATGGTAAGATCTTGTCTTGAAAAAAAAAATTTAAGGAGAATCTTTTCAAGCAAGTGTTACTGGACTCAGTGTTACCTGGGAAAGAACAGAAAGTGATGGATTCTGGTTCTGCCTGAGTCACTGGCTGTGCGACTTTGTGTACATCTCTCTAGCTTCTGCTCTGAGGGTCAAATGTGATGACTGACAGGACAGCATCCTATTTAAAGCATCCTATTTAAAGTTCAAGATGGCCATGACTTACTGTCATGGTTGAAGGCGCCATCATTTACAAAACAGGGCCGATTATGGAACCCATGTTTTAGGGTTACATGAAGACCTAGTGTCTGGGTGAATCAGTGCTGTGTGTGGGAGAGGCTGGCTTATCTGTTCATCTTGCTACAGGACAGCACATTATTATTCAAAGCAAGTATATTATGTGTCTACATACTGGTTAGAGCAGAGCATGTGTTCCTTGTGTGATTCAGACTTAGCCAGACTCCTCCAGCCACTCTTCCCTGCACACAACTGCTCTGACATCCTTATGCCCATTCTTCCTGTCTATGCCCATGTCTACATGTTCAATGACTTTCCTCAGTTGGTCGTCGGTGGCCTTGGTCCTTCCAGGATGTTTCGAACAATGTCTGGGTCCCCATGAAACATCACTATACCCAGGTTTACCCAGATATTTGGATAACAAAAATGGGGCTGATGACCTTCTTTGTTTATAAGATAAGGAATGCTGATAAAGGAAACAAAGCTTTGAAAAGCTCCGGTCCTGCACCTGCCCATGGCCAGTTTGACCAGTCCCTGAGGCTACTCAAGATGACTTGTCTCTGCTAAACTCACGCGAGCTGTGTTAGATGGGAACACAGAACACCCCTGTACACTCGTCTAAGTACTATTTGCAATGTGGCATCGATGCATGTGTGTGCGGTGCACCTCTCCCTGTGGTCCTACTCTGGGTCCCCTGAGGAAGTCCTTTGTAGAGCAGCAGGCTCCACCAGAACCCTGCTGAGCTTCCCTCCTAGGCATTTTCTTCTTACCTGTCCTCATTTTTAATGTTTTCAGATGATTAGATCGCTAGTCTAGGGAATATAAGATTCAGACTAGCAATTACGTACAATGAATCCCATTCCCAACTGTTTCATCAAATCAAATAAGTCTGACCAGACTCAGTGGTACAAGCCTGGATTCTCGGCTACTATGGAAGATGAGACAAGAAAATCACAAGTTCAATCCCCACCACCAGTAACTTAGAGTCTGCCTTAAGATGAAAATTCAAATAAAAAGCACCTACTGATAGAATGCCTACCTAGCTCTAAATCCAATCCCTAGTAACACACACACACGGAGAGAGAGGGTGCAGAGAGGGAGACAGAGAGGGAGAGGAGGAGAGAGAAAGAGAGAGTGAGCAAGAGAAAGAGTGAGAGAGAGGATGAGAGAGAGAGAAGCAGTCATCTGAACATCACCTAATGTCCTTATTTTCCTCTGCAGTACCCTTTCGCTCTAGGCCTGACGATGGCTGTGGTGTTCTCTACATTGGTGTGCCTCAGCAGACTCTACACGGGGATGCACACAGTCCTGGTAAGGCTGTGGGGGTAGGCCTCACGACTGAACAGCAGTTGGTCTGAGTGTCCATATGGCTCCTTAAGCTGCTTGCTTAGGCGTGGTTCATGTGTGTGCACCTATAATCCCAGCCACTTCGGAATCTGCGCCAGGAGGATTACAAGGTTTATGCAGCAGAAGAAGGCTATCTCAAAGTAAAAAGTCAAAGAGGGCTGCAGCATGTGGTATCCAGTAGGGCTTGTTAAATGGGGCAATGTGGGAACGAAGAAATGCCATACTCTGAAGAGACGACAGACATCAATATAGAAGAGCTGGGATCAGATGAGCCATGGTCACTGTGATGGAAAATCCCTACTACACTGGGCACATTTATCACGTACCCCACAAAGAGGATGAATTAGTCTCAGTGAGAAGTTTCTGTAGGGGAACAGTTTCATGGAGGGGTTGTTCTAGTTGCTTGCCTTGCACATACTGTCAACATCAGAGGAAGGCTCTACCAATCCCCAGATCCTCTGGGAAAGGATTTGCTGTATCCATGCGTCTAAGGCAATGGGGTCCTTGACTTGGCCATAGCCATGTTAACAACATACATTCATTCAGGGCTTCATTGGCCCCTGTGTGTATTTACTCAGGATTTCTTCTTCTTCCTACAAGAGTTTTATCTCAGTGACAGAGCCCTTGACTTCCATGTTCAAAGCTCTTGGTTCAGTTCCTCCTGACTTCGTCTCACTCTCTATGGTTTTTTCCTATGTTCCCTCCCTACTGGGTGCTTGTTCTACCTCTTGACATATGGTTGATTTTATTTAATTCAAGCAGAAAGCTCTTAGATTAAAGGTATGTGCTAGGGCTGAGCCACACCACAACAAGAAATGGGTTTTTCTAGTAAACAACACAATCTTGAGGTTCACAGTGTGATCAAATATCCTACAACATGACCTGCAATTATAGCTTTTTATACTTTTCAAGGTTACACATGGTGATGGAATCAGAGAATGGCATATGCATTTAGAATTTGGCCCATCCTTCTACTGCATTATAAAATTTCCCTCTCCGGGGATGCCACAGTCAGTATGGGAAAAAGTCCTTGAGTATCCAGGGCCTAAAGCAGCATCCAGCCAGGGAGCTGTGGAGCGTGGAGCTGGTCATGGTTTGCCATGATGACACCATGTCTCATTCCACTCTGTACAAGAAAGATGTCTTTAAAAAGAAACGGACCTTTAATTATTATATCAGTACCAACTGTGAAACTGCAAGAGATGTTAGCAAAAGGCCTTTTCAGGGAAGGATGTCTTCCCAGGCCTTTTCAAGTCTTGCCCTGGTGCCAGGAGTGAACAACAGTGGAAGGATGGGTTACCATGGGAGAACGAAAAGGAGAAGCCAAATGAGAGCAACTGGAAGCCTGGGCGTGACAGGTAAGGCATGAAATCAAGAGGCTCTAAGGCTGGGATCAGTTGGTGAAATGCTTACCTAGCATGCACAAAGCCCTTGGTTCCATAACCAGCACTGAGTAAAACCTGGCATGATGGTATACAGCTCTAATCCCAACACTTGGAAGGTGGAGGCAGACAAATCAAAGGTTAAAGGGAATTTTCATTTACATACAAGTTTGAGGCCATCATAGGCTACAAGAGATCATTTTAGTGCAGTACTTTAAGGTTAAAAACCAATGCAACAAGTTCCATAGTAAATTAAATGTGTAAACAAAGACATCCGTCATTGATTTTATAGGTGTTCCTCCCCTGCTGTGGGCCGCAGGAAGTTCACTGTTTGAGTGAAAGGGGCCCCAGAGTCAGTGTGGTTCCACCTACCAAGGCACCATCCTAGCGCCCCTACCCCAGTACAGGCTGCATCTGCTGGCTTCTGAGATGGAGGGGAGGGGAGCAGAGCATTCTCAATTCGCCACACCACTTCTCCACATGACAAAGACGTTCTCTGCAAACCCCTTCCTAGACCTCAGTGTGGAACTACACAGGACTCTCCTGGGTGTTTTGGCATTTCTTTTTATCTAGTGCTACTTTTTAATTTCCATAGGTTTGCATTTTGGAAAAAAAAAAATCGATCTCAGGTTAAAATTAAAACCAAAGAAACACAGGAATGTGGAGCTCCAGACATGGAGAGAGAAAACATGCAAATCCACTTCAGTGAAACACAGTTCCTTTTTTTTCTCTTTTCTTTTTAAGTGGCTTTTGGAGATGGAGAGGCAGATATTTTCGGGAAGATTGATTGGGCCTCTCATTTAGATGCAAGGAATAAACTGCAGCCATTCTTTGGGAAAGATCTCCCCAGAAGAGAATAGAGTGAGGGATCAAGGCAACTCCTCTCCCTCCCTGGTCTTGTTCCACTGCTGGGGCCCACTGTGTTCTGCCTCATCTTGCAACCTGACACTGGCTCAGGCCCAGAGTGCATCAGGCTGCAGGACCAGATCCTGGCTCTGGGCACCATGAGTCATGATATCCTAGCAGCAAAGAGAATGGCTGTTTGCAGAGTGGGATGGTGGTAAATTACAGGTTACTGCAGCTCTTTGTTCAGCGGCAACTCAATAATTTCTTCTTTTTTTTTTTAAATTTTTCTTTTTAGTTACATTTTGTTAACTCTGTGTCCCAGCAACTCAGTAATTTCTGATGGGTGTCAGACTTGGAACAAGATCGAGGCATAGCTTGATCTCTAGGAACAAACCCACCCACTCTCCTGGGTCTCCAGGTCACGGAAGGAGGGAGAAGTGTGTGCTGGTGATAACTGGCACAAATGCTATCATTTGCAAGGCAAAGCTGGCCTGAGCCACCGGAAATAATACGGTCTCTTCCCAGGACCCCTCAAAACAATCCATGGGCAGCAACACCCAGGGGCCAGTATCTCCACCCTTGCTACCTGTTCAGGTCCCACAGAAATCTTTTATCTTTTCAATTCACTTACCAGTTTCATACAAATGTATAATAAATTTTAGTTGTTTTTAGCTCGGTTCCCTTATCTCACACTCTCTGACTAAAACCCTTCCTCCCTCTCACTTTTATGTCTTCTTTTTCATGTGAGGTGTGCCTTAATTTAATTAAAGCAGCTTGTCCTCGGCGAAAAGTTATTTACCGGAGCACCTGGACAACTTATCAGTGGCTACCCCACTGAAGAAAATGACTCCTGTTCCACCAGCAACCATTAATAGCCAGCACTACCTCAGGAGGCATGGGGCCATGTGGGCCCCTCAATAATCCCATGGAAATCTTAAAATACCTCTAAATCATCTGTATACCCATATGCCCATATATATGTGTGTGTATGTATGTATATGTGTGTCCATATATTATATACATAATATATATAAATATATTCACACCATAGTAGCATTAGTCATAATACCAAAAGAAAAACAAAAGTGGAAGCAACCTTTGTCCACCAGTGAATGAATAGATAAACAAAATGTAGTGTGTACCTACAGTACAATATTACTCAGCCTCAAATAAGCAGGAAATTATGATTTGTGCTACAACATAAACACCAAAGGTATCATAGTAAGTGAAATAAGCCAGTAACACAGAAGGACAAATATTGTAGGATTCCATTTGCCTGAAGAACTTCAGGCAGTCATTTTAACAGATAGAAAGTTGACTATAGTTGTTGCTGGGGTTGGGGGTAGGAGAGAATAGAAATTTTTTCTTGGGGATGGAAGATTGATTTTTGCTCTCGTAAGAGGTCTGGAGGTGTATGCTGGGGATGGTTGTACTGCAGCATTATACTTGACAACACTTCAAACTGGTGAAGATTGTGAAAGGTATATGATGCCTGTCTGTAGAAATATCAAATTAGAAGTCCTACCCAGGGGCTGGGAAGATGGATTGATGGGTAAAAATGCTTGTCACACAAGCATGATGACCTGAGAAACCCTAGGACCCATGAAAAGCCTGGTGTAGCGATCCCAGAACTCCTATGCAGAGATGGGACAGAGATGGAGACTCTCTGGAAGCCCACAGGCCGTGTAGCCTGGTGTAGGTAGAAAAGAAAGAGAGAGACTCAGTTTCAAACAAGCTGGTAGGCAAGGACTGATGCCTAGGTTGTTCTCTGACCTGCCCATATGTATCGAGTTACACGTAGGTGCACCCCCACTCACACATATATACACGTGTGTGTATATGTGTGTGTGTGTGTCATGTTCAGGGAATGGGTCCTGAGATATGCAAGTAGTTCTCTGATTGATTTTCGTTCATAGCCGAGAGCCATTGACTGGCTCAACAATGATCATAGCAGGTGTGGGGTGGACACAGACCTGAACAGGGTCAGTTGTGAGGTGGAGATAGCTGTGATGCTCTGGAAACATGAACGCATCACTGAGGCGGCTCCTGCTTTCTATTAACGGTCCCTGGTACCTAAAGAAGAGTGAGTTCTCCTGCAGGACCTCCTCCTTTTCTGGGGCAAGCCACAGTTGAACTCGTGGACAGGCCCACATAAAGCATGGAGAGCTGTAAACCTGCTTAGCTATGGCATTAGCCTTGCCAAACCAGCTCTGGCCCTGTCTCAGGACCTCCCTATTGCTAATATACTCATCAAAAAAAAAAAAAAAGTGGGCTCTCTCCTCCCACACCTCTGACATCCAAGCAGTCACTGTGATGAGTCAATTCTGACTCCTAACTTTGTGCCCACACCACTGAGAGGTATTATCTCTGACTACCTGTTCCACGAACAGAGAACTGGCTCTCGGATGGCGGGTGTGCGTGATGACACAACTCTGCCTGAGTGGGGCAGCTAGATGGTGCCTTTAGGGGCCTTAGGAGATGTCAGCACTATTATACCACATAAAATACAGAGTCACCGCTGACATCCTTGCCTGGCTGACGGTACCGCACACAGGGCTGTCTTGCCTCTGGGTTCACCATGCAAGACAAAAACCGATCAGTCAAGGTTGGCTCACCATTCAAGATGAAGCAACAAATCAAGGTTCCATTTTTATTTATTTAATTCCTTTGCTCTTTAATTTTGTGTTCTCTTGGTTTGAAGGATAAACCAGTTGTAGCCAATTGGAGGCAAGGCAG